TTCACTTTTTCCACATCCTAAATGTATTTGTTAAATTTAAATAATGTTTGTAAATACCAGGCCCTGAAGATGATCTCAATAAAGATCGAAACGTTGGCACGATAAAGAAAATGTTTTTCTGAAACCTACGTCACACCAGACTGCATCTCACGATTTCTGAATAATTATCGATTAACGGTCACTAATCACCATATATTTTAAATGTTATTCATTCATCTATAAACTATGTCTCTTTTTATTTATTAATTATCTGCCCTTGAATTATCTCAATTGCGGCACAGGTGTGGAGAGACAGGTGTCCTGAAAAGGGAATTGCTTCCCTTCAGGATGCCCTGAAATATAAAAATAAATCGAACCACGTAGTATTTTTGGGGGAAAAACGTATAAAATTAAAATCTTGTAGAAGTTCGTTGTCATTTCTCATTTGGTGAAGTTACAGTTTGAAAATTTCAAAAACTGTGACTTATTTTCTACCCAAAACTTTAGTCTCGTATATTGGATGAATATACGAGAATATAAGAATATATTCTATTTTCTTATCTTGGCTTAGAAGGTTGTATAAAAACTAGTGGCCTGTTGGGGGATAGCTCCATTCTATACTCGGAATCACGGAACGATAGTCTAAATTCTAATATTCTGCTAGTCTAAGCGTTTTAGTCAAAATGCCACCAAGGGCTATCGAAATATGCGGTCTAGTTTTTTTATTTTCTGAGCGTCCTGAATGCACGCCCACAGCTTTGAAGGAGTATATACAATATAATTGACCTATGAGAAAATTTCACCTTCACGTGACAACAAATCCGATATGAATCCGGGATTCTGTCCTTGTGTAACATTTTAAAACAATAAGGTCCAACTCTTAGAATTTCTCTTCTTGTGGTAGTAAAAAAGGCAAAACAAATTCCGTATATTGTTAATCAAATTTGGACAATAGTTCCTTTAATTCCAATCGATTTTTGGTTCTGGGAGTGAAATTAGGCCATTGTGACAGTTGCAGTGCAGTTACAGTTACAGTACTTTTCAGTATTAATAGTGTATTATTGCTTCCGAACTATCGAAGATAGGGAACCATTGTATTTGTGCGGGAAGCCGAAAAAAATTTTGCACTCCAAAATCAAAATTTCCAATTGCATTTTGATCCCCTATGAATTAACATGTGCATGTGCATGCGCATAAAAATGTCGGATTCTTTTGAAATTTTCAGGGATTATTCGGATTGCTTTATAGATGATGCAGTATGAATTTAAATAACGTATTATCCTTTTGTTCTTATCAACATATTAAGATTCATTACATTGATACACAATTGAAGATAAATAGTAATTTTTTATTTCGAATAAAAAACAAATCACACGATCGCAATGAATTTTTTAAACGTATATTTATCATGACAAATATTATTATTTTTTTATTTTTTTTATTATTATAGCAATCATACTGCTAAATATGAAATTCTTTAAACCACACGAAAAAAAATCTTTGCAAAACGATTAATGTTCAAACAAATAATATAATAAACTATTGTATGTTATACTGATTGTATATTCTATGGATTTATATTTTACAAAAAAGAACGTCCCTGATTTTGCACCCAACGTACTTATAAATGTGGTTTTTTTTTCTCAAAAACACCGTTTTCCGTGAGTTCATATGATCTCTGCACTTCATATCCTTGCAATATGTATACAGGGATCGCTATACAATGAAAATAAATTGGGGGATAGTTGTAGAATTGAGCAAAACTGATTCTCTAATCCATACAGTCAAGAAGGTACAATTTAAAAAAAAATTCGGAACAAAAATAATCCGTCTTTTTTAAATGTATGTTAAATTGTTTAAAGAACGAGAGTCTACCGAACCCTTTCAGTCCAATTGAGAGCGTTTCGCTGGCACATATGAAGATCTTTGAAATATTTCAAAAATTCACTTTGACGTCACAAAAGCTCGTAGTGATTGGTGAATTTCACAAAAACTGCTTCATTTAATAAAGCTAACTAATATGCTTGGTAAAATCCGATACATTCTTTTTTCAAGGAGCATGGTATCAAACCCCCCAAAAAATGTGTATCATGGGAAAGATCAAGGTTACAAGCTAAGATGAAGATTTAAACAGTATTGATGACAGAATTTTTATTAAAGAAAAAACCGAATACTACAGTTCGAAATTCAAATAAAAATTGATTTGGAATGAAAACAGCTCAGGAGTTTTGAAGATAAGAAATTGTTCTTTATCGAAAAAAGAGTTGACTTTTAGACTGTCAGTCCTACTAAAACACAAGTGTACATTGTATAATTTGAAAAAAAGCCCGTCTTTAAAAAACGGCAACAATTTTGTTGAAATATGCATTGGTAATGAAAAATATCAATGTTTTGTGTGCGTGACAAATCGATTTTTTCGCGAAAAAAATGTTTGTTGTTGATGGGGTGAGTCAGAAAACCAATTTTTGCAGCAGTCCACTCCATTTCTGTCTAGTATAGCACCCAATTTTTCTCCTGTCATAGCGAACCACCCTGTATATACAAAAATAAAAATAAAGCATATTGTGTGTACAGGCTTTTCCCCAAATTGTTTGTTGAAAAACCGGTTGTTATTTATACCAAATTTCAATAACACCGAGAAGACTTGTTTATACGTGCAATGTTTTGAATAAAATTTTTGCAAATGTGCAAAACATACTCAGTTATTGTGACATGGTTAGGGATGGTTTGTCTCACCTCGCTGGTCGACCAATTTAAATACTCAATTATATTCTGGCTATGTTGATTTTGAGACGTTGTGCTCTAAAACAAACAATTGAATTTTTGTGGCTGGTTGCTCTTTTTAGGTTCAAAGGGTAAGTTATTTAATTGAAAAATTCATTCATCCCATGATTAATTAGTCGTGACCGATTAGTTTTGGTCTGCCCAACCTCGCTGGTCGACCAATTTAGATGCTAAATTATATTCTGGAGATATTGATTTTGATATATTGCTTTAAAAAATGACAGATGGAGTTGACAAATTCATTTATACCACGATAAATCGTAACGTAGTTTCAGGTATAAAACTGAATCGAATTATTTTATTTATTTATCTGTATATTTGAAAAATATGGTAAGTTTTTATCTGATGGTAAAGCATATATAAAGCAGGATCCTACGCTTTTCTCGCATTGTTGAAGTTTGTATAGCTACAGGATTTTTAGAAACATTATATTATACGAGTAGAACAATTATAAATATACCTGGTAAACAAAATGTTTAAATTTTTATTGTAGTTTTAAAACGTCGTTGTAAATTTTACTCTGAACAGGTGAAATCGACTGTTCCTCTGAAAACGCACGACCTACCATTTTTGTCCTCTTAATGACATATAAAAGTCAGTCTATTCGAAGTTGTTTGCCCAGTTGATTCGTATGACATTCACAATAAAACCCAATTGTGACTCATATTTTTAATCAAATGTTAATTAATAATTGACATCATCCGCGGTCACATTTGGATTTATTTTTCGATAGGTAAACGATGACCTGTCACGGACGTACATTGTCTTGTACCCACCACGATTCAATATTTATTAAGTATTAAGAGAGTTGGAGGGGAAATAACGCGCAATGTTACATCGAAATATACATCAAAGTCAGCTCACGGGTGTACTGGACAGTTGATATTACACAATTATTTTCTGAGATGTAATACATTTTGAAGTATTTGTTTTATCGCCGTAGTAACACCGTACTAATAATTGAATCGGTTTATTTGAAAGTATAAATCACTTAAGATATACGAAGAATGGTAAGTCTATGTAGTAGAAGTCTATACGTCGTTGTCAGTATTGGTGAGTTTCTGTATGATGCTAGAAATCTCTCTCTCTCTCTCTCTCTCTCTCTCTCTCTCTCTCTCTCTCTCTCTCTCTCTCTCTCTCTCTCACTCCCTATCAACCAACCAACCTACCTACATGTACATCATCACCCCCTATGCAGAGGTACTGCAATTTTGCCTCGTGACTTGAATCCTATCCAAGCTACCTACAACATCCCTGTACACCCTGAGACTGTGGCAAAAAATGAAGGACAAGATTGAATCAAGAAGAATGTACTCACTCACATCTAAAAAACAGTCTTACCCTCCACTGTACATCAACAGCAAAGAGATACCGATTCCATTCAAGTCAAATAATTAGGACTTAGCTAGACAGCAGACTGACGTGGAATCCACTCACAAGACTTAAGAGTCATCAACTTATCAGAAGTCTTGGCCAAACTACGAAGATTTCTAGAACCGAAATCCGTGTTGACCGTCAACACTAAACTAACATTATATAAGACTTTACTGCGACCACCTTGGACACGGAGTGCAACCCGGGCCAAGCCATCTTAATCCAGCAAATCCAATCCTTCCAATCAAAAGTCCTAAGACAAATCGTCAAT